GCACGTGTGCCCACAGAGAGGGCTCTGAGTGCCGCCTCTGGCACCCGTGCCATAGGTTTGCCACCACTGCCCTAACCTGATCCTTCTGATCTTCACCACTATAACTGAGTCCATCCACCCTCGTTGCTGGTTGTCTTCTTCTCTTTCCTATTTAATAAACTAGGTGGTTTAAAAGCTGAAGTCACTCTTCTTGAAGAAATCTTTTACCGCATGAGGATTTCCCATCTAAGTGATAGAGAGGTCAGACATACACAAGTGGTGGCTAAAGATCAGCTAGGAGGTAGTAAACAATCCTGATTTGTTTTGGAGCAAGAAAGAAATGGTTTAGAATATTTTTAATTTTGGTAATTAAAATTGTAACAGCAGGGCACTGCTTTTTTTTAGCTAATCTATTCTTATAAAGATGAGCCAAACCTTTTACATTTATGTTTTTCTTATATTTTTAGTTTTGTGGTTGATCAGATGATTTTGACTTGAGTTTTTAAACAGGTTTGGGGGTCTTTAATTGATCATAATACAGTTTTAATTAGACCAAGTTCCAACTCGTGGAAAATGCTGTGTCTGTTTCATAGAATTGAACATAGTAGAGCTCTGATATTGTTCCACGGATCTGTTGGAATCATTCTCCCAGCATAGGAATCACAGTCCCAAGTGCTCCTAACACTACTGGGACCTCTTTGCCTTTATTTCCACATCATCTCTACTTTCACTTTCAAGCCCTGATACTTTTCCAGCTTCTCATTCTCCTCCTTCCTGATGTTGCTTCACTTGGCACTGCTACATCTATCACCATTGTTGTCTTCTGGTCCTTCTCTACCATTATGATGTCTGGTTTATGTCTCTCCTGTATGACTTCTGGCAACTCTCTGGACAAGGCCCTGAATTTTTCTTAGCAAGATTTCAGAAGTGATTTGCCGTTGTCTCTTTCTGAAGGCTGAGAGAAACTGACTAGCCTAAGTCACTCAGCTGCTATTTTTACGTAAGGTGGGACCAGAATGCATCATCTCCTGGTTTCTAACTTGTTGCTTTAACCACTCCACCAAACTGGCACTTGTCTTAGATTAACGTGATAGAAATGTGTTTGCCGTTCCCCTGAACTTAAATAAAAGAATAAATGTAATTAAAGTGAATGTTACTTCATGATTGATTTATATTTTTAGAGGGATTTCCGCGTAAATGCCTGCCAAGTATTTTAAACAGGCTGGTAAACCACTGAGAAAGTGTTAAAGGAAGGTTACGCCATTAGGTTTTCTTTATCTAAATTATAATTTTCACATTGAAGATAGGAATTTCCACTTTCCAAAATACAACTGGGCACATATTTTTGACTCCTATTTCATCATGAAATTTAAGTGATTATTTCAAAATTAGAATTGGGAAGTTATTATTTTACCATTTTAATATATTTACTGCATTATATTAATGATTAATATTTTGTCCTCTAGGATGCTGATGGCCTTTGTTATCCTTCATCCAACAGCCATGAACAAAATTTTGCCTATTTGATTGTGAATCCTTCAAATCGTCATATCTATGTTTTGTACCATGTTTTTGGAGTATCTTCATTCTGTAAGTGACTGCTCATAGTTATTCAATTAGTTCTCGTAAATAGAGGAATTCGTTTTAAATATTGTTTGTTGGAATTCCAATATTGTTAGGGCATTAGAAATTACTTGCACACTCACTGAATGTAATTGATTTTGTTGGAATGTTGTTAAATTAATGTTACCAATACCTGCATATACCTTGAAATGGGCTATTGCTAAATTAACTTACATCCTGTCCTTAGAGATCTTTATTTTAATAATTCTTTTATTGTACCACTAATAAATTATTAAGCAGAAATTTTGTAACGGTGTGGATATATATCCCCATTATATAATTTTACAAGATTATTTCTGGATTGTCTTTTGACCCTGGAAGGATGGCTAGGTAAGGTATAATTTAAAATCTTAAAAACAATTGACAATGTTTAGAAGACAAGAAACATCAATATTTAAAGTAATAAAAATAGTCTTACAGACGGCAGAAGTGGAACAGCAATATTAACAGCTTTCTTAAAAGTTAAAGAAGAACCTGACCAAATTTTCTAGGACAGAAATATAGGCTGTTGATAGAAAAAAGACTCTCCCAGCATTTGTATTTTTCCTAATAAACTGAAAGACATAAGAAAATTTCTGAAATACCGTGTGTGGGACAGATATGGGGAATAGATCCTTTATTTTGAGATGATTCAGTTCATATTTATAATTCTTACAGAAGACTTCAATGAACAAATTTACTCAAAATTTAGATTACTACTGAGAAAAGCAAATACTGCTTAACAATATTATTGCAATACGTTGTACATGGGACTGCCTTTTCAAAGAATTCAGAAACTTCAATTGGTTCAAATGCAGCAGGCCTAGAGGTGCATGTGTCATCTCTCCTGCTGGAATTGCGTGACTGACTGATTTTATGTTTTTTGCAGTAGTTAAGCAAATCACAGTAGCTGATAAGTGAATTCACTGTTGTTAAGTGAATGATGTGGTTGTTAAGCAAAGGAAAAATGGAAATGCAGAGTTTTGACAAAACTGTGATAAAGCATGATCACGTGATTGATGAACCCTGCAAAAAACTATAAAGGCGGCTGTGTTGGGCATGTAACCATGGAGGGGGGTTGACTGTTGGATCATAAGTCCTGTTTTTCAGGTTGGTTGCAACTTTGCTAAGTAAGCAGTTGCAAATCAAGGACAACCCCTTACATTCTTTCACTTTTTATTTATTTATCAAATTTATATGTCCACCCATCTCACAAAAAGTGACTCCTGGTGGTATACAACATTTAAATAATATACCAAATATATATAAAACAATCACAATCATTGTTAACAATTAAAATATTAAAAATTAAATAATTGTTCTTTTGTCTCGGAGATCAGTACAAGTTTATACATCTTAGGAACGACATGTTCATCATTTGTGTACATTTTGATTTCAAATTCAGTCTTACAAAGTTTAATTTTAATTAAAATGAAAATTTTAGAAAAAGAGTAGGAAAGAGAGTCGAGAGAAGAGGAAGGGTATTCCTGCCAATGAGCACTATTGTGTTTCTTAGCTTTCAATAGCAAGTAGAACCATCAATCACATACAATCGTGATTTCAATGATTAAATTCAAAAATTGATTTTAGGGAGATAAAGACACTGGAAGGTAACATTCTGGAGTGGTTGACGGGATTAGAAGAGTGGACAAGAAGTTTTTGTCTCTTAATTCTTTCTTGTATTTATGCACCTATTTTATTTATTTCTTAAAAACAGCCATAAATATTCTTAAGTGGTTTGTTGTGATGTGTATGCTAATTATGTGTTGTCTGGTATAATGTGTCTCTTTTTTGAACTACTGTTTTTATTGTTTCCGTACTGTTGCCAAAAATTGTAAGGTTATGCCATTTTAATCACCAGGAATCAGGATCAACTTGAGGATTTATTTACCACATTTATACAGTTGCTGTTCTCATATATGACTCTGCGAGGCTAACGATTAAAACACATTAAAAACACAAAAGAACAATATAATAATGTAGGAAAGAAGAAAAAAGCATATAAAAACCATCATGAAAACTTCAAAGCTGAAATAATCCCATCTAAATAACAATATACTAATACAACCACAGTGCCATCTCTACCACATTCCCTGATTTTCTTTTTTCTTTACTTTAGTAGTTACTTGTACTTTTATTTACACCTGCGTGTTTTGAATCCCGAGTTTTTCCGACAAGCATTTATTTCCCTTCTGCAAAACGAGCCCCGCGTGGTGATTTGCAAGGGTGCCCAAGCAAAGCTAATTTCAGGTTACAACCAAGAGTTTTGCGCTGGTCAGGACTTGCATCCAGCTTATTGGACTACAAGTCCCAGCGCTGCCCTTGGGATTGTGAGAATTAAAAGCACAGAAATCTGGACAACAGCAAGTGGGGGGGGGGGCGGCATAATGGGGAGGGGGAGGGACAAAGGAAAAAGTGTTTCCTTTCTCTTTTCCCTTCTAACCCTGATGGGTCGGGGTCTAGTTGCTATTTCCCTTTTTTCTTCCAGTGTGGGGGAGGAAGAGAAAATAGTCCCAACTGTCCCTCCTCCTCCTTCCCTCTCTGGGAGGGTTGGAAAACTTTTTGGAAAAGGGGGGGGGAGGAGAGGAAGAGAGCCAGAACTATAAACCCCATGTTTCCTGTCCACATCGGCGACGGTGAATCCTGCACGGGCGGCTCCAGGAAATTAGAAAACAAGTTAATCCGGAGGCGTCGAAGAAGCAGTTGTACCAGTTAGGAAGAGAAGGAAGTGGGAAAAAAAACACTACAGGCTGGACGGGCGTGGAAAGGAAGCTCGGGAACGCTCCGTGGCAAAGTTCGCCGCCGTTCAATTTCAGCGCGGCCGGGCGCGGAAAAAGAAGAGGCGGCGGCCGCGGCGGCGGCTCCTAAACCCGGCTGAGTGGAATTAAAGCTGCTGTTGGGATTCGGGGCGGGCGGGCGCGCGCTGGGCGGAGCAGGCTCGGGCGGGCGTCTTTCCGAACTTTTGTTTGGGAGGGTTCGTGCGCGACCGAGCCGCGGCGACCGATTTATGCCCCTGGCTTCGCGTCCGGCGGAGCGAAAGCGCGGGAGGCCCCGAGTCCCCCCTCGCGTGTCGGACCCCCGGAGTCGCCGGTGCCCCCCTCCCGCGGAAGACGGGCGCGGGGCGAGGCGACGGAGCGAACGACCCCGGCGCCTGGGCATGCGGGGCGGCCAGCTCGGCGCTGTTGCTTAAGCGGAGCGGCTCCAGCGAGCGAGCGAGCGAGCGCGGAGGGGAGACGGCCATGGACGTCGCCGGGCAGCCCCAGCAGGCTCCGTCGGCGGGGCAGCCCCAGCCTTCGGGGCAGCCCTCGCCGCCGGCGCTTCAGCAGCCGCAGCCCGGCGGGGGCGCCGTGTCCGGGCCGCCCCCGGCCGGCCACCAGGTCGTCCACGTCCGGGGCGACTCGGAGACGGACTTGGAGGCCCTCTTCAACGCCGTCATGAACCCCAAGGGCGCCAACGTGCCCCACACGCTCCCTATGCGGCTCCGCAAACTGCCGGACTCCTTCTTCAAGCCGCCGGAGCCCAAGGCCCACTCCCGCCAGGTGAGGGGAGGAGGAGGGGAGGGGGAGGCGGGGGGGGGGGGGGGTCGGTCTCCGGGATCTCTCTCTCTCTCTCTCTCTCTCAACGCACACACACAAACACACACCCCGCCCCCCGCCAATAGTCGCTGCGCTGCTTTGGAAAACTTTCCCGGGGAAAGGCGAGAGAGGGAGCGCGCGCCTGCCTTTTTCCAGATTGTGCAGGCTGGGAATTGTAGTCTGGAGACATCTTGGAGAGGCCAAGCTGGAGCGAAGCAGACTTAGAAAACAGGGCAAGAGCAGCAAAAGCTCCTTCCAAGCGCCGCAGGACTTTTGCGTGGCGAGGGGCGGAAGATGGGAGCAGGCAGAGCCAGGCTGGAGTCTGTCCTCCACCGTGGGACTGCCGGAGGGGATTGGGAGGCAGGCCCCCTCTTTCAGCCCGGGAGGCCCGAGGGTTGATGGTGGAAAACAGGAGGAGAGGAGCGCTGGCTGGGGATGCCCTTTTCAGCTGCAGGAGCAAAACGCGGGATCTAAATCTGTTTTCAGCTGCAGGAGAGAAAAAAACCCAACCAGCAAAGAAACATTTCCGAAGCAAATATGACAGATGGGGCTGGGTGAAGCAGGCCTTCCCAGTCAGGCCCTCTGGATGGGGCAACTCCTGGAACAATATTCTTACAACGCTCCAGCCAATAAGGTCATTGTGCTGGCTGTGCGTAATGGGAACTGTAATCCGACACAACCGGAGAGGGACAAGTTGAGGAAGGCTGGGGAAGTTCTTAAATCAGCTTTTGGAGGTTGGTTTTATTCAGAGGTATGGAGTTATTGGAATACTAGTGCGATACATCTGGGATTAGGACATCATATAGGTAGTCCTCGGCTTACAACAGTTCATTTAGTGACCATTCAAAGTGACAATGGCACTGAAAAAAGTGACTTATGACCATTTTTCACACTTATGACCATTGCAGCATCCCCATGGTCATGTGATTTACATTCCGATACTTGGCAACTGATTCATATTTATGACAGCTGCAGTGGCCCAGGGTCATGTCATCATCTTTCATGACCTTTGGACAAGCAAAGTCAGTGGGGAAACTCAGTTCACTTAACAACCATGTTACTAATTTAGCAACTGCAGTGATTCACTTAACAAATGTGGCAAGAAAAGTCGTAAAATGGGGCAAAACTCACTTAACAAATTTCTCACTTAGCAACGTAAATTCTGGGCTCAGTTGTGGTTGTAAGTTGAGGACTACCTGTATTTTAATCTTATGCATTGATTATGATGCTGGTTACTATCCTCCCAGACTGGGATGGCGGCTATTTTATCTCGCAGTTAAATTTTTGGGGACCAGATAGATGATGGATATGAAACAGTAGGTGGAGCTAGTATCAAAAATGGATGGCCCCACTCATTTTTTTTTCCTGAAATTCTGTTTTTTTTTTCCTCTTCAGTCTGAAGTCTTCTTCTGTTTTTTCAAGCAGCAGGCTGCAAGGGGAGGAGAAAGCATTTTTACCAAGGGTCTGAACTGATCTTTTGCAGATGGGTTTTAAAGTAGGTCAAGGATTTTGTGAAATCAGCCTGAAGGCTGCAGGTTTCTCATCCCAAACTAGTGGTGTGTATTTGCTATTTGCAAAGTTGATTCGGTCAAAAAAAGAACTAGGACTCCTCTCCCAATCTAAATATAATAGAGATAGAAATGGGAATTCAACGAAAAGCTCAAAAGATACCTGGTTAGAGGAATCCTGCAAGTCATGCCAGCAGGAGATCCAAATATAGATGAACCACCTCATTCAGTGTTGACAGACTTTTGGTGGGAGGGAACCATTTCTCCCCCTTCTTTAGTTTTTCTTTCCTTTTTAAATGTTTTGCATGCTATTGAAACCAAAAGTGCAATTTATGTATGCAAATTCCCAGAGTAGCATACATCTCTGCCTATATGGAGGGTTTTTGTGAGTGTGGAGATTGGGTACTTAGATTTATGTAGCACAGTGTTTCTCAACCTTGACAATTTTAAGGCATGTGGACTTCAACTCCCAGAATTCCACAGCCAGCAATGCTGGCTGTGGAATTCTGGGAGTTGAAGTCCACATGCCTTAAAATTGTCAAGGTTGAGAAACACTGATGTAGCACTTCAACAGAGTTGGAGTGTTATCACTGTGGCCCTTCTCTTAACCATTCTGAGTTAACCCATAAAAACATGAGCAGGGCTTCCCAGCTGTCTTAATATACAAATTGGATGCTAGTGGGGGAGGGGACAGTTTAGATACCTGAGTACTAAGCCCATTGTAATTTTCTATTCCTTCAGAGATGAGATTCAAGTGGGCTGCTTAGCTGACATCCTCTCAGAAATCATTATGGTCTTAATTTGCATTCAATAAAAACTAGTGTGGTTCTATTTCCCTCCTTTCTTGCAGTCCTGTGGCTGAAATGGGCCTTCACAAGCCATATCTTCTTGTACCCTTTGCATTATATGAGTAAAATGTGCATATGATAGTTGGTATTTCTAATGATGGAATATGCCACGAATGGCTAAATAAATATGCGTGTGTAGCAAAATAAAGTTTGGATTTGTTACAATGATTGCGTATATATAATTTATGTCAATATAAGTGGATGCTTTTTCTTGGAAGAAAACTCTCGTCAAGTCAGAGGGCATGGCATCTATACTGTTTGATACTGCATCTTCATAATTATAAAATAATTATATTAATATAACATATACGATATTATTTTATAATTATATTTTTAGAACTTAAATCTGTATAGATTTCCTATACAGTAATTGCACTGTGTTGAAGATTTCCCTTTAAAAGAAGGAAGTGTAGAAAGCATTTTCTGTTTTCTATTTCTTTACACCCCAGAGTATTCTTTTGTTTCCCAATTTCACAGAGAGGAACAATTTTATGTCATCAAATGTTAAAATCATTATTCAGCATATTTTAAAGTAGTGGAAGTGATGGCTGTTGTTTCCATCTTATCCCGACTTTAGCTCTGTGAAGTTGATTAGGATGTGCAGGAACAAGTGGATTCACAAATGGAAACTGGAAAATTTCACTCTTTTCTTGAATATGTCTCTGGGAAGCAGACTCTTCCTTCATTTGCATCTTCTCTGTGGTATTTGTAAATAAGTGGTAGGGTGCCATGTTGGCAGTTCTGATATTTCAAGAAACAAGTCCCAGAAATATCGTAAGAAAAATAAGCTTTTCTTGTTGTGGAGAAATTCTGACCATCGATAGAGATTACATCTCTTATCCAAATTTCCCTCATCAAAGGATAAAAGATATACTGCCCTTTCTACATCTTAGGAGGAATAATTGTTGCATGCTGGGGGATTATACCCTTATCATGTCTTAAAGGTAGGATTCACCAAATGTTGCCTTATTTCCACGTACAGATTCATCCAATTCATGTTACCCATCTTTCTTTCAGAACTCATTTTTAGGAAAAGCTACTTCTTTTCTTGTCTGTTTTTTAAATTTAGTTGTGGGAGAGTTCCTTCAGTTTTGTTCATTTTGATATTTGTTACAAAAAAGTTGATTTTTGCTCTCGCTTTATTTTTTTCTTCTGAAAAGTACCTTGAATTAACTCATTCATGCCCCTTCTCTCATAGTTTGTTTTCCTTAACTCTCTCTGTGTGTGGGCTAATAAGAGTGGTTGTAACAGTAACCATAATTTATTTTACATCCTTTGGGAACTCTATTCTGACACTGGGGAGCCTACTTTGGTCTTTCAGTCTTTCTCAGCTGCTTGTGATAATTCCTGTTTTCTTTCTGTCTTTAAGGAAGCTAATGTCAGGGTGGGAGATGGAGAAGAACTAAACCTATGTTGAATTAAGTGATGTGTTTACAAACTTCATCTACATTTATCTTGTCTCAAATTTGGGAAATCTGGAACACTACTCTTGAGATAGAAGACCTCTATGGCGAGCTCCATTCTTGCCCCAGCTTCTGCCCACCTATCAATTCGAAAGCATGAAAATGCGAGTAGATAAATAGGTACCACTTTGGTGGTAATAGTGTTCTGTGTTTCACCTCACGCTCTGCACTATGGCCTGATGTCATGCTGGCCACATGACTATGGAAATGTCTTCAGACAATGTTGGCTCCCTCCGCTAAGAAATAAGAGACGAGCACCGCTCCCTGTAGAATCAGACACGACTGGATAGAGCAGGCATGTCAAACTCGCAATGTCATCTGACATCGCGCGACGTATCGCGACATTTTCCCCATTGCCTGCAATGAGGTGGGTGCGGTTTCAGCGTGACGCATCCGGCCTATGGGCCGGCAGTTGGACATGCCTGGGATAGAGGAAACCTTTACCTTTTTAAAATAATATTCTAATCTTCAAATTTGCTGCAGTGGCAGACTTCATTATCATATAACAAGGTTCTTGTGTCTCTCGATAAAGAAATACTTAAAATCCATAAAGTTAGATTTGGAATGATATAGAAGACCCAAGAACCTTGATAGCATCATTAATCTTAGTTGAGTTGTTGAAATCGCAGCAGGTTGGGTGGGCAAGAGGGCCCCCAAACTCCAGGTGATTTATTTATATTCCTCCTTTATTATTGTTACAAATAACTCAAGATATTGAACATATTTAATATACTTTTGTCCTATGGCAGTGATGGTGAACCTTTTAGAGACTGAGTGCCCAAACTGCAACCCAAAACCCACTTATGCATCGTCGAGTGCCGGGTGGGTGTGGTCCATTGGTGGGTGTGGCCAATTGGGTGGGCATGGCCCATTGGGTGGGCGTGGCTGCAGTGGTAACGGCAGACTGGGTGGGACTAAAAAGTTCAATCAATCAATTCCAACTTTGCAAGATCTTTTTTTTTCCCACGAGAAGTTGAAATTGACTGATTGAACCTTTTTTTTTTTTTTGCACACGGCGGCGGAGGCCTAAAGCGAAAAGGTTTTATAAAACCCAGCTGAAGGCCTAGGACTGGGGCGACGACGCGCGTGCCCACAGAGAGGGCTCTGAGTGCCGCCTCTGGCACCCGTGCCATAGGTTCGCCACC